TTTGGAGCATCCAACCTAAAGCTGCCACCTTGACGTGGTGGTCGGGCTTCAGTGCTGCAATGATCCCGCGGGATACACTGGCTGGAACTTCGTTCCACAAGGTGCAACCATACCAGGAAGGCCAAAGAGTAGCAGTCAAACCAAGAGCAGAAAGAGCCCGTACTACGAGCAATCGTGCTACGAGGCGGTCTGGGGGTAAAGTTGTACTGTCCTCTGCGACAGGAGTGTGAAGGTAGTAAGGTGTTTCCCCCCGGGGACCAGCATGTCCATATTTGTGGAAGCAGCGATGCTGCCTTCCCCCGAGGAAGGACGGGTTAGAAAAGGTCGGCCCCAAAAACCGCACACTCCGATCGCCCAACGGTTGACCGTGACCGCCGGCGCATTATCCAATATGGTCGAAATACTTTTAAAACCAAAGAGCCCGGTGCTGCTCAAAAGGCACCTGCTGTGCGCAGCCGCATCAGGTCATCAGCATCATCATCATCATCGACAGCATGACATCAGTGTTCAACACCGATGCTTCACTGCCGTACAACCATACCGCATCAGGAATGAGACAGTAATGCCTTATTCCCTGCGCCCTCGGGTTAGGCCAACCCCCTGCAGCCGAGCAGGTCAGACTGTTGAGTCGTCGGCTCCGGGCAGGGTCCCCAAAGAAAACCCTACATTCTCCCACTGCCTCGTGGGTCAGACTTTTGAGTCAGAGGCTAGGAGCAGGGTCCCCGAACAAAACCCTACGTCATCCCACTGCCTTGTGGGTCAGACTTTTGAGTCGAAGGCTCAAGGTGGGGTACCTCAACCAAACCCCCTTCCTCGGCCTGGGCAACCGGGAAGTATCATTTGCCCGCGCAGTTCAGCGTCCACCGATGTCCCTCCCCAACCCCTTCCCACTGCACAAGCAAACGTCGCTGGGCCATTTGACTGTCAGTCATCTGACCGAAGGGCCTTATGCTCCACGCTGCCTACAAGCCTTAAACAAAATAACACCTTTCTAAATCCACGAGATCCTTTCTATATAGGAGCTTTTAACGTCCGTACTCTATGTCAAATTGGCAAACAGGCTATGCTTGCTGAAACCTTGTACTCCCTTAAAATTGATGTATGCTGTGTCTCCGAAACACGCATACAAGACCCGAGCGTGGTTCTGCATCTCAGAACGCCAAGGATGAACCCAGCTCTTTCACATTTCTCCCTCCGTGTGTCTGGTGACCCAGAAGCGATGACTCGTGGAATGTATGGCGTGGGAGTTGCACTCAGCCCCAGAGCTGAACGCGCTTTGCTGGATTGGATCCCAGTGAACAGTCGTCTCTGCGCCGTCCGGTTATCCAGTTCAATCAAGCTCAATGCCTCGCGGCATAAAAAGCGGTGCCTGTTTGTCGTGTCGGCTTATGCCCCGACGGACTGCAGTTCTGATGCGGAGAAGGATACTTTCTATCGAGAGCTATCCAGGCTCATTCGTCAGGCAAAAAGCACTGACATTGTGATCCTTGCAGGCGATTTGAATGCTCAAGTAGGTCGTCTGAGCTCCTTGGAATCACATTTGGGTGGTCGCTTCGGAGTCGATGCTCGCCTTACAGACAACGGAGATCGATTCCTTCAGTTGTGTGGTGATCACGAACTGTTTCTGGCAAGTACGAACTTTCAACATAAACGTTCGCACCGCGTAACCTGGCGGCCGCCAACTACACATCAACCGTGGACCCAGTTGGACCACGTGGTCATCAGCCACCGGTGGAGAGCCACAATTCAAGACTGCCGTTCTTTCTGGGGCACACCACTTGATTCCGATCACGCCATGGTGCGCGCTCGCCTGACAGTTCGTTTCCCTTCAGGTCCTCGCAAGTCGGCAAGATGCATGCCAATCCACTATCTTCGAAGAACTGTCGTAGCTCAACAGTATCGATCTGAACTAGCCCAACAACTTTCCACAGTAAAACAATACTGTAGTAGCAGTGAGCATCGGGATGAAGCGTTGCAAAATGTGAAAGCAGCTGCACTAGCGGCGTTCAGTGCTGCCTGCCCGACTTCTCCAATTCGACCACAAGACCACTGGATGTCGTCGAGGTCGTTATCCATGATTGCTGCCAGGAATGAAAAAGCCGTACAGAAACGTGAGAAGACACCGGGACCGGACGGTCTGCATCCAGCCCTCTTCAAAGAAGCCGGAAATCCCCTGGTGACCCACCTGACAAAGCTTATTGGTACTACGTTGGACGAAGAGAAAGTGCCTGCAGAATGGGGCATGTCGACACATCCCCATCTTCAAAAAGGGTACACGGACGCTATGCGAAAACCACCGTGGCATCAGCCTGTTAGCTGTGGCATGGAAGGTGCTCTCTGGCCTTATCCTTCAAAGGTTGACTGAACACAGGGAGAGGCAGATCCGTGAAAACCAAGCTAGGTTCCGTCCTGCAAGAGGTTACATCGATCATATCTTCAACCTCCGACAGATTCTGGAACAGCGACACTAATTCCAGCAACCAACCTCATTAAGGCGCTGTACGCCAACTCCCGCCGCCGTGTAAAGGTCTACGGGAAGCTCTCTCCTGAGTTCACCACATCAAGTGGTGTCCGACAGGGTTGTCCTCTTTCACCTTTCCTCTTCAACTTCGTCATCGATACGATCATGGAAGACTCACTACCAGCCTCTAATGCCTTTGGGGTCGAAATACTCCCTGGGCCTCCGCTCACAGACATCGAGTACGCAGACGACATAGCTCTTCT